AGACGGCAGGTCTCAGGAGGGAGGACCACTCGAGTCAGAAGCATGAGGACTAAGCCATGGGAGAGACGGCAGGTCTCAGGAGGGAGGACCACTCGAGTCAGAAGCATGAGGACTAAGCCATGGGAGAGACGGCAGGTCTCAGGAGGGAGGACTACTCAGGTCAGAAGCAGGCACCTCGGCCAGGAGCGGTGAGCTCAGAAGCCCGATGCCCTCTGATGTCACTAGGAGGCCCAAGTGTCCACGGGTCAGAGCAGGGAGGGACAGAGAGAGGACACACGTGCCTGGAGCTGCTGAATATCAATACTGAGCTGGACATGGAGGTGAATGCAACTCCCCTGGCCTCCGGGGAGAAACAAAAGCACACCCAGTAAACAGAGGGTATCTGGACACTGGTCTGAGCTGGCAGGCAGCCTGGATTTTGCCACAGGCCCGGGCAGGGCAGCAGTCAAGTTCACTCCTCTCTGCCCATCCCCTGGAGAGCCTGAGGTGCCTCACCCACCTCCCTGAAGATCCCCAGCCCAGGGGAGGTAAGTGGCTGCAGAGGCTGGGGGTGCACTCACCTGCCTGGTCTACAATCTCATAGTCCAGGTCAGCGTCGTCCACCTTGGCACCCAGGCAGCTCCCCTGGTCTACCTCCAGGATTTCCGGGCAGCTGCTACAACACATAAGAAGATGGAAGTCAGCATCCCAGTGGGCTGCTAGGGGGCCCGAGTCATGGGACCCCATTACCAGTCCTGTTCTACCTGAAAGACCAGGGGTCTTCCCGGAAGTCCTCCGCGGCCCGCTTGTATAGGGACTGCTGGCTGGGAGGCACGGGGCTACTGGAGCGGAAGCTGTCCACCAGCTCGCGGCTGGACGTGGCGCTCAGGTCGGAGCAGAGCTGAGATTGCAGGAGGTAGGAGCAGAGGTCAGCATGGGGCTCAGACGGGGACCACCCAGGACACCTCCCGGCTGCCCCAGTGTGTAAGGGGAGTCATAACAAGCCACAGCCTCCCCCTGACAGGACAGAGGCAGTGAGACGAGGGGAGGGAGGAGCACAGAGCCAGGCCACAATAATTGAGCACCTACTATGTGCCAGGCTATTAGCTGCGTTCTGTATCTTCCATCGCTTAGGTCTCATGATAAATCTACACGGTGGTGTATATGGTCTCTCACTTCACACATACAGCAACCGACGCCCCGAGAAGCCAAGTCACGTGCTGGCAGCGTGTAAACGTGCAAGAGCAGTGCGTGGTGCTGGAGGACGCAGGTGTGCAGTGTGGATCTGAGTGTAGCCCCTCCGTTCACTTAATAGGCATCTCTTTAGCATCTGCTATGTGCCAGGCCCCCTTCTGCCCCAAGAGACGAGGGTGCACCTGGTCCGGGCCCTGCCCGTGGCACCAGAGGCACTGGCCTTACCTCAGAGGGGCTGCCGTCGTCCCGCGGGCAGAGGGCAAACGTGCGCGTCAGCCGCTGCTTCCCCTTCGGACAGGGCTCCCTGGGCCCCGCCTCCTGCTTGGGCTGCCAGAGACAGCCACACGGCTGGTTAGTTCAGGGAACGTCCTCTGGATGCCCTTGGGGTTTCTACCAAGCCCTAACCCCCATCTCCAGCCTCCAGCCAGCAGGAGGCTTCCTTTCATTGGCTTCCAGACAAAACAGGGATGTCTCCTCCTCCTGGCCTGGGAGCCCGGCATTGCAGGCACTGACCACGGGTACACAGAGCAAGTGGCTTGGCGCCTGCACTTCGCTCCTTTTGGGTGATATCTGTTATTCTCTCCTGGTTAGACAGATGGCACACACTTAACGTATAACACGTCTATGCAGACTGCCGCGGCGGGGGAGGCGACTGGAGAAGAAAACAAAGTGGGCTCGTCCTCCCACACGCAGAGACGGCACGGCTAGCAGCTTGCTGCCCGTCCGTCAGTCCTTCTTACGCGCGTAATGTATTTTGTGAACGTGGCTGCTGTGGTGAGGGGGGAGGGAGGGCGGGGGCCGCTGCATGGGGAGGGGAGGGTCTGGCTGTGCCTCCCACCCGGGTCCCGGGCACCTCTGAAGAGTGTTGCCCGCCTGCCAGGCTGCCCGGAGCTGCGTTGCTGACGAGGCTTTAACTAGAGGCCTTACAGCCGTGTCAGCTCCGGGCAGACGCAGACCTCCACACCGCGCGTCTGTCACCCGGCGCTCAGATAACTGACTTGCAAGCCTCCCACGGAGGCTTCACCCCCAGAGTAAGTGCTGCCTGTACAGCTTCCTATGCTTTCTTTCTTCATCAAACACCACCCTTTACAGGCTCCAGAACCTTCTGTTAAGCTGCCCCTTCTATGAGGTGCACACTGTTATCATAAAAGAGGTGCAGGAGCAGACGCAGCCTGCCCAGCTGGGCCCCGTCAACATCCGGCCACACGGGCCGCTCACCGGAGCCCGCGCGGTGTTTGCAGTTGGACCCGGTGGTGCCAGCTGGGCCCGGTGGCCAGCTCCGTCCCGCTCCGAGCACGTCCGTGTCCCCGCTCTCGGCTGGCGGCACTCACCCCGGGCGGCAGCGACTTGGCCTGCAGCTGCTGGCGCAGCCGGCAGACCTGGTCCGTCAGCTCAAACACCTTCCTGCGGAGGGCGTCCTTCTCCGTCAGGCTCTGAGAAATCTCCACTTGGGCTCCGTCCCTCGCCAAGTAAGCCTGCGGGCAGAGACAGAGCTAATGTCCAGAGCGGAGGGGCCACCACGATGCAGGAGTCCAGCCAGAGGGCCCCCGTTTCTGGCCCACGTTTATCCTGGACTCCGACGCTCTCTTCATGTAAACTGTGCGGCTTTAGTACACACGGTGGGTGGGGTGCACACGAACACCCTGTGCCGGAAAGGAAGGCGGGAGGGTGGTGTACAGTGAGCGTGGCACCAGACGGCAGCCGCAGGGAGTTAAGAAACCTCCCCGGGACCAAGGAGAGAGACCCCAAGTCTGGAACCAGCTGCCATGGAGGGCGGCTGACCCGGCTGGCCAGCCTTCGGCCACGCCCAGAGGGCCCTTCCAAGCCGAGGCGTGCAGGGGTGGCACCTGCTGCTCTCGGAGCCACGCCTCTCCCGGTACCTGGTCCCGCTCCTTCTGCAGCTCGACCACGTGGCTCTGCAGGGCGCCCAGCCTCTCCTTGTAGATCTCACAGTCCACCTGCGTCTTCTGGAACTGGAGCAGGGTCTGCTCCTTCTCCTCCCAGTACTGGGCAGAGGGGGACAGGGCCGGCCCACGGAGGTCAGTGGCTCTGGGGAGGGGACTGAGGACAGGTGCGGTGGGGGCCTCAGGGAGAGGGTGGGAGAGGCTCTAGAGGGAACTTAGGCGAATTCATGCTCGCTTCCTAAGTGCTAGATTTCCGGCGCATCTACAGAGCTGCTGCGCTGAGTGCACACGGGTGCTGCACGCCTAACTGTGTCTTATTTATTCCACGTCCCCAACCCATAAATAATTTCCCTCCTCCTGCCGCATTCTCTTCCACCGTCTTCTTTCTCCTTGTCCTCCCTGCGCCTTTTATAGCAACTAAATCAACCTCCGGCTCGCCTCCGGGGGCGCCACACACTTGAAATCACTCTGTGCTTTAATCACGTGTCTGCATGGCCTGTCTTCTGACCACCCCGCAAGTAGACGTGACCTCTAATCTCAGACTGTGACGGTACGGCTTTGATGGAGGAATAAACAAATGGGCCAACACTTTCATTAGGCAAAGTTGGTTTTAAGCTCCATGTGGATTAAAGAATCTGCTTCCCCGCCCCGCCCTGACGGGCAGTCCCGGCCCTACGCACGGCCCGGAGGCTCACCTGCTTGCGCTGTCTCTCGGCGGCCACGGCCCGCTCCCGCAGAGAGTGAATGCGGTCCACCAGCTCCTGCCTGCTCTCCAGGGCCTCATCCAGGTTCTGCTCCAGAATGTCCTTCTCCGCCTGGTGCAAGGACAGGTCAGCCCAGGGGCCCGGACCTCCCCAGAGGCCTGGCCCTGAAGGAGCACCGTGGCACCCCATCCTGAGGGTAGGAGGCAGGAAGCTTCGAGGCTGGGCGTGTGGGTGGGTTTAGCCTTATTGTTGAACGGCAGGCAGGAGAAAAGGCAAGCTCAGCAACCGGGATGGGGCACGTGCATTTCCACCGCACACGCGCGTGGCGAGGGCACGGAGCAGAGACGGCTGAGAGCCGCCAAGGGGGGCGCCGCACCTCCTCCCTCTAGGCAGTTTCTGCCCGCTCCTTTGACAAGTCCACCCCTGGAGCTTCCAGCAGCGGGAACGCCAGCAGCATGTCATTCAGTTCTCACACCCACTTTTATGAACGATGGCCCAGCCCAGGCCTTGTGACGGCAGTGCCAGGGTGGCGGGCTGCCCCACACCCCGTGAATGTCTATTGAAGGACCAGCTCAAGAAATAGATATTTATTGATTGAAAGGGACTGAAGAGGAGAGGCAGAGGTTTTGCATAATTCCAGGGCTTCGGTCACTAAATTCTCTGCATCCTACGATCCCCACACCCCTGTGCCCGTACGGGCAGGACGACAGAATATTTTTCAGGCAGAAAGGTTCCCTTCCGCCCCCCACCCACACACACACCCTTAAAGCTAATCTCATCCTTTATAACCAGCCCCATCTACTCGAAAACAACACGGCAGCAAACCAGCTGAGGGAGGCTTCTGAGTACGTCTGCAATAGCTGTGGGTTCTCCCAACGTTCGGGGCCGGGGGAGAGCAGGACGGAGGGACGTGAGAAGGAGCAGTGGGGGTGAGTCACTGGGTTTCATCTCACCCAGTCCTTCTCCACACCTCAACGGCACCACCTGTCAGCCATCCACAGTGTGGAGGCCACAGGCTGAGGCCAAGGACAGTCCCTGCTGGGCGGGAAGCTGACCTTGGGGGGACCAAGGCAGGAAGCTGAGTCTCAGCAGGGTGCCGGGGTGGGGAGCCGAGTCTTGGGGGGACCAGGGCAGGGGGCTGAGCCTCAGGGGGACCAGGGCGGGGGGACGCGTCTCGAGGGGACCAGGACCCACCAGGCTGAACGTCAGGGAGCGGAGTCTCTCGTTCTCCTCCTTCAGGCGGCTCAGCTCCTCGTCTTCAGGCTCCAGGCCGCTCGCCATCTTCAGCGACCGCTCTCGAGACTCCCGCTCACAGGAAGAAGACATCTTCTCCCGCTGCAGCTCTTGCTTCATCAGATACAGCTGCAGGGAGGAGGCGCGAGGAAGGGTGTCACTGCTGACTCTCCACCAGACCAGCATCACGTCTGTTTGCAACCTTTCTCCTTAAGGATGCTGCTGTTCGTACTCAAAGAGGTCCCTCTCCTGAGATTTCAAAATCCATGAACGGGTTTTACCTATAATAGTCCTAACCCCTGCCGGGGGGAGAAAAGCATTTTGGCTTTATTTTATAGATGAGGTGCAGGGGTTAAGTCACTGGCCTAGGGTCCCCAGGAATAGAACAAGGAGCCCGGGCTACCAGCTCTTGGACCTGACGGTCCTTGCAGCTGGGTGAACGGCCAGTAAGCCTCCTCCAGCACGGCCCTGGCTTCTCTGCCTTCCAACATTTTGCTAAACAGGTCAGGTGAAGGGAACGTGGGTTCATGAAAATCAGTAAGTAAAAGAAGGGGAAGGCAAGTCAGATGGAGCCTAGGTGCCTGGGAGCACAGGACCCGGTCTACTCGGACACACCTGCAATTCGCGTGCTAATGAGGGCCACCTCGCACCCAGCAGGCTGCGTGCCCAGGGCCGTGGGCTCCGGAGACCACCTGGTGAGGACCTGCGGCCTCAGCTCTGCTGGGTAGTGGTCCAAGAGAAACTTGGACCTCGAGCCAGTGGACCCGGCCTCTCCGCGTACAGGTGTGGTGGCCCTGGGGAGAGGGCATTTCCCCAGAGGCAGAGCCAGGAAGCGTGGGTGTCGGGGAAGAGCCCAGCACGCACACTGGGGCCTGGGTCAAGTGGAGAAGGAAGAACCCCTGTGCTCGCGCTCTCCCCTCCTGACACCTAGTCCCTTTCCATAAGCCGTTCCTGCGTTCCTGCTACGGGCTGCCAGGATTCAGCATGCCACGGTCTCCAGATTCAAAAAGCAAAAAGGGAAGGGGGAGACCTAACACTGAAAGTAACTCAAACAGCTGAACCTCGTTACATTTCCAGCTATTACCATAACCACAATGAAGGGGGAGAGGGAGAAGGCAGGGCATGTACAGTAACTCATGAACACAGCCTTTAACCACAGATCCTGAGCCTGGGGCAGGCTTGGGTGGCAGCAGGGGGAGAACTGCAAACCCGAGTTTTGTCTATTTTACCGGTGTGGGCAAAGCGACTGACACTATTTCAGAGGTGCCATAGGGCTGGGCAGGCGAGGACCGTGCCCGTGTTGCGGGAGCCAGGGCTCTCACCGGGGAAGGAGCACACGTACGGAACGGGGCGGCGAGGAGAAACCCTGGGGGAGTGGCTGTAATTAGAGGTTTGGGTGTGAACTCACGATTTCTAAAATACGTGTCTGCACGTGGGTGCTGGCACACACCTGCGTGTGCGCGCGTCTGCACACGCATGTGCACCTGGGTATTCACATGCACGTTCTTAGCTCTGCCTACTGAAAGGGCAAAGGAGCAAAGACACCCAGGAGCAGTGAGCTCACCTAGAGCCCAGATCGTGGTCTCCAGCAGGAGCAGGGCCCCTCCAAGAAAGGGCTGACCCTGGAGCTGGGGCCGGGCGGCTACGAGATGCTCCTACAATATTTTGTGATGCCAGGAAGGGAGAGTCAGTGCTAAGAAAACGTGGGGCGTGTCATGTCACAGGACACAACGCAGATTGAAGGGGCCTCCCACTGGCCAAATGTGGGACACCTTTAGCACCAAACTCATTAAGGACAGTATGTCACCGACCACTGGAAACAGAAGTCCAGGCGTCTGTCCCATGAATGGGTGTACAAGCAGGGAGAGGGAAAGACTCCTCCTCACACAGGGCGCCCAAAAGGTGGGGCTCGTCCTTCTGCAGCCACCGCAGTAAAGAGGCATTTGGGCAAGTCCAGGGGGAAGTGTTGACGAGGAGCGGGGTGCCCGGTGGTGTCAAAGCGCCCCCCACCCCCAGATTGTTTACTAGCTGCCGGGAGTAACGGCATGACTGGTGATTTTGGTTCCGCACCTGATCCCGGACTGGAGGGAAAATGCCGTAAAGGGTGTAATTTAGGTCAACAGATAAAACTGGAACACTGACAGTAGATTGGATTAAAAAGATTGTATCAATGCAACGTGTGACGCTGACAGGATATCTTGTTATTAGGAAATACACACTGAAATGTCTAGGAGTAAAGGGCCGTGATGAACACGGCTCAAGTGGTTCAGGAAAAAGGGCGCACGTGTGTGGAGAGAGACAGAGACAGAGCACGAGTGATAAAGTGAGGACACATGGGTGTCCCTTGTATTTTTAGTCATGTATTTTGGGGCAAATTTGAAATTCTTCCTAAATAAAGTTTAAAATCAAAAAACAAGAAACAGTGCCATAGTTAAAAGCAAAAGCAGATGCCAAAACGACAAGGAATGAGCACCCTCAGGAAAGGACTCTTGCGGCTCAACAAGGAAATCACCCCAACAGGAAAACGGCTGAAAGACTGCTGGGGTTCGGGGGCCTCACTGCTAGCACTCCTGTACTCCCACCTGAATCCAGGACCAGCCAGGAGAGACAAAGGAGGAGCGACAGAGGTCCACCGTCCCCTGGTTACTGACGCAGCCAGAGGGGAGTAGGACCTGGGTGGGCCCCCCAGGCCGTGATAGCCACTGCTCCTGGAGAGCCAGACGGGCCCCAGACACAGGCAGGGGGAGGCCTCCCGGCAGCGGGCACTTCACAGGCCAGCCGGTCCACGGCAACGCCAGCGCAGGCCACGCGGGAGCAGGGCCCCGGTGGAGGAGGAGGGTCAGCCTCCCGCAGGGGCATTCCAGGGAGGGGCGGGAGTTCCAGGAGCTGGACCGGGGAGGGCAGCCCGCGGGCCCCGGCTACCTCCTCCTGCAGGCTGCGGCAGCGCGTGGTGGCCAGCTCCTTCTCCTGCAGCGCGTTGCTGTAGTGCAGCGAGAGGCCCAGCATCTCGTCCTTCAGCTTCAGCACCTCGTGGAAGCGGGCGCTGACCTCGCGCTGCATGCGGCCGTGCTCGGCCTCCAGCTGGCGCAGGCTCCGCTCGCGGGCCTCCGCCTGCTCCAGGCGCTCCTGCAGGCGACGGCTCTGTTGCAGCAGCGCCTCCTTCTGCCCCTTCTCCTGGCTCAGCTCCTCCTGCAGGCTGCTGATGGCCCCCGCCAGGCACTCGGTCAGCTTGGACGTCTCCATGAGCCCTGCGGGAGGGGACAGGTGGGCTCGGGGGCTCCTTGTGCTCCAGGGTCTGGCTTCCTGCACCCAGACTCTCAAGCAGGATGCCCCTCAATCTGCTGGTCGCCTTAAGAGCTTTCAGGCTCAGCAGGACTCGATGTTTCGGTTAAATAAACAACACGGCAGGCGATTTTGGTACAAGGACTACCCACTCTCAGCCTCCCGTGGGGCCCTGCTGTTCAGACACAGCTCCTCCGACCCCCTCAGCCGAGAGGTTCATTCTCAGGTCACCCTAAGGAAAACATAACGAAGAATGTGGATCTGTATAACGGACCCTGAGTCCCGTCAATACGGCTGTGATGCGGAACAGGCAGACTCGCTCTCTCAGCCACAGCTGTGAGCCAGCCGGCCTGCTCCCGCCGCAGCTCCTCCAGGGCGGCCTGAAACCACTCAGTGAATGAAAAGGCTCCTCTCCCACCCAGCGGGCTGAGCGGACACACAGGAGGCTGCAGGCTCCTCTCCCAGGAGCAGGAGCTGGGCGGGGCCGGGGTCCCCTCCACCTCAGGCCCAGAGCAGCTGCAAGCAAAGGCTTTCTAGGGAAGGACACCCGTCCCCTGCCTGCACCTCTCAAGTGCAGATTCCGCGCCCCGAGGGGTCATCTCTTGGTGCTGGGTAATGAGGGACAAACCTTTTCTTTCTTTTTTGGTTTGCTTTTTTGGGGGGGTAAGTAATTAGTTTTACTTACCGTTTTTATTTAAAGGAGGTACTGGGGATCAAACCCAAGATCTCGTGCATGCTAAGCAAGCACTCTACCACGGAGCTATGCCCTTTCCCCCAAATCTTTTCTTTTAAAACCCAAGGTCATGGGCTCTTCCTACCCACCCCTCTATGCTTAGTGGTGGGGGGTCTCCTCACCCCCAGAGAGCAAGGGGCACAGGGACAGGAACCTTTGCCTGGAGGGAGCAGGGAAACGTCTGGAACAGCTTGTGGGCGAGGCAAGCCCCCCAGGACTCCCCTTGCCCCCCTCCAGGTTACATCAAAGACCCAGCTCTCACCACTGAAGCTGCTGAAGTCCACGGCGGGCCGCAGCCCCGTGACCAGGGTGTAGACGTCAGGGTTGTGGAACTTCAGGCTCTCCAGGAGGGCGAGTGCCCCGTTCTTCCCTCGCGTCTTCAGCAAATCCAGCAAATGTCCTTGGGAGAGAACGGCCTTAGCTAATCGGTGCTGGGCGGGTTCCGCGGGAGGGGAGCAGGCTGTGGGGAGGGGCATCTTTGCACATCTAGCAGTCAGGAGGCGAAAGCAGCTGTCCAGGGTCCCCAGGGTGGGGCCCTCGCAGCCCTGGTAGGCTCCTTGTCTTCCCGCCATGGCAGTCAGTCTGCAGAAGGGCCAGGCTGATATTTACTGAGGAACTGGTACAACCCAAGTGCTAAGAATTGGGGATAAAAGACCTGTGAACCTGTGCAGACATATGTGCGTATGGAGCAGGTGGGAGGAAAGAAGCAAGTATCAGTGGCCCAGGGCCCGGGTCCCCAAGAGGCTGGGCGCCTGCCACGCCCACCCAGATCCCATCACTCTAGCTCGAATTAGTAGCTTGAATTCATTTCTTCTGTATTTGATGGTCGTGAGGCCACAGGCACAAACAGCATCAGGCTGACAGCTACCACTCACTGCCTGCTTTCTGTGGCCCAGGCCCTGAGAATGAGTATCTGATCAGCAGTAACTCATTCAGTTCTCCTAGCAAACAACCTCATATGATGGCACTGTTAGCTCCCCTGTTCTGGGATGAATAAATGCAGTTAGTCAGACAGAATCAGCTCCAGAGACACCCGGGGTGGGTGGAGTTGTGGACCCCAAAGTTATGTCCACTTGGAATCTGCCAGCGGAACCTTATTTGGAAAACAGGTCCTTTGCAGACATAATTAAGGTAAAGACCTCAAGATGAGATCATCCTGCGCTATCCAGGTGGGCCCTAAATCCAAGACAAGCATCCTCATTAGAGGCAGAAGACACAGAGAAGCCGCACGACGACAGAGGCAGAGACTGCAGTGATGCCGCCACGAGCCAAGGACGCTGGGGCCGCCACCAGCTGGAGGAGGCAGGAGTTTTCTCCCCCGGAGCCTTCAGAGGGAGCTCGGCCCAGCTGACACCTTCATTTCAGACTTTTGGCCTCCAAACTGTGAGAAAAGGTATTTCTGCTGTTTTAAGTCACCCAGTTTGTGGACGGCAGCTCTGAGACACTAACACAGTGTCCTCAAGTGGGGACCTCACACCCTCTTGGTGTTGCTCCTTAGAGTCCCGCCCACTCCCACCCCCACACCAGCCTTCCCGGCACAACCTGCAAGGACCTGGCTCCGTGGGACACGCCGGCCCCGGGCCTCACCGACTCTCATGGCCGTGTTGGTGAACCTGGGGCCATGCAGCACCTCCTCCTCGTCCAGCTGGCCCAGCACCTTCGCCTGGCGCAGGTAGGGGGTAAGGCGGCTGGGGAAGATGCTGCACACAATCCTGCAGCGGTGGTCCTCCAGCATCTCCCACAGCACCTCCTCGTCCAGGGCCGCCAGCGAGGAGTCCGTGCGGCACAGCTCCGCCATGACGGGGCCTGAGCACCTGGACGCGAAGGGCTGGGGTCAGGGACGCGGCTTCCTGTCCGGGAGGCCTCTCCACCCAAAACCCTCTTCCCCACGCCACTGGTAGGGGGGAAATGACCCATTCGGAGAGGACACAGCACCCACTCTGCCCTGGTGTCCTGTGACCTGCGGGAGGACACTCTTCATCCTTACTGCTGCCAAGTCCTTTCCTCTACCTGGGGCACAGCAAGGAGAACTGGGTTTCTTTCGGATCCAGGAGACGGGAATGTGCCTTTAAAACCCAGAAAGTTGCCCTCCAGCCTGGGGAATTGATTCACCGAATGAGGAGATACTAAAAACCAGATGGCTCCAGAATACTCATTCTTCACAGGAATGACAGAGCTCCCAAGGGGCCAAAAACTGGTTCTTGAGCAAAAATTCTTACTCTTTAACATATAAAGCACAAATGTGCATAACCAGGCACACAGCACACCTGTGATATTAATATTTCATGAGAGGAAAAGGTGTTAGTGTTGAAAGGAGGTGATGATGAGAAACTGCTTAGAGAAACCTCGAGGGTTTAGATGGCCGATCGCGCCACCCAGCCACCAGAGGTGGTGCCCACGGTCCACCCGGCAGCGCGGGGGCGGGACACTGTGGTGGGAAGCGGGCTGGGGGAGGGGTCCTGGCACGGAAAGCACACCGGCTCTACCTGCTGTGGGGGACACCTGTCATCTTCCAGCAGCCCCAGGACACTCGTCCGGAGACACCAGGGAGTGTGCTTTGTAAAGCGTATTGCAGAACACCGTGGGACTCAACGGAATGGCTCTTTTGAGTGAGTGGTAAAGGCCTGGCCCCTTGGCTCGCGGGATGTGTGGGTCTGATGGCGGCGGCCAGGTCTCTGAGGGGCCGCCTCCCTACCCGGAGGGCCGCATTCACAAGCCCCGGCCCTCCTGGGACGGAACTGGTGAAGCAGCCATGCTCAGAGCTCCGGGACAGCAGCTGCCCAGGGAGGGGGCGTAGGCGGGGGGCACCATCGCTGGTCTAGGACCCAGGACCTTCTGTTGGGAGGGGCTCAGAGGGCCCCTGCCCAGTCTGCCAGCCACGAGCGCCCCTGCAGCTGTGTTCCCACCTGAGCCCCCCTCTTCCCTCCAGCCCCAGCACAAGGTCATCAGCCCACTGATCCATCTAAATAATCCTAAGATGCTTTAAACCGCAGCCTGTTTCAAGCATATCAAAAAAAACCCCTGCAGATGATGTAAAACATCCTGGTCCCTGCCACACAGACGCAACCTGTCTTAACACCGAGCACTTGGGCCTCCCTTCTAAGGAAGGGCTCAGCTGACACAGCCCAGGCCGTTGTCTCCAGGCCCTGCCCTCCCCCACCCCCCAGGGAACCGCTGGGCCGCGTCCTGCATTCAGTGTGTCTGTGAACAGCGTGGGCACCTGTCTCTGTGTGGTTCATGAACCGCTAGGGGCGGGGCTCCACGCCCAGCCTGTTTCTGACGTTTAGCAGATGGGTACATGCCGCCTGATACATTTTCACCTGGGTACTGGATTCAGCTATCCGAATAAACCACAGCCGATGCACCTGTGCACAGGCCGTCGCTACCTCTTCTCCAGCACTCTCGGTGCCCCAGTGACTGTCCCTGTGCACCCACTTGGGCACAGGTGGGAGCCTGTCAGGCCCATGAAGTCCTGGGATCGGGTTCTCTTCCCTTGGAATGACAGGATGGACCGGCCAGAGTCGAATACCTCTGGAAGGGGTCTGTGTGCTAAAAACGCTTGAGAATCGGAGCAAATCAACCCTTGCAAACTGAGAGAAATAGAAGATGGTCATGGAGGGTCCTGTCCCCGTGGACAGCCCCCGACAACCCACACCAGGGGCCTGGTCTCCAGCCAGTACTCACCGAGGCTGCTCACGTGCGCCTGTGCAGGAACTCCTCGCAGTGGGTGGGATCCGAGTCCCCCTCGAGGCCAGGTGTGCTGCCAGCCGCTGGGCAGGGCGGGGAGAACCAGTGCTAAGACGAACTCGTATCTGTTTCAAGCCACGTGACTTGCACCAAACTCAAAGTTCAGGCACCAAAGACTAATACAGAGGAGAAAAAAAAAGCAGACTCTGATCCAGGAAATAATTCAACAGATCTTTGGCTCCTACAGTTGGTCAGTAACTATAAAAACTTCCTCAGGGTTTGAAAGCAGGTTTCTAGAAGGAAGCTGGGCTTTGAACCCTAGAACACAAAGGAGAATGGGCAGGAGTAGTAGTTACCCCTTGTGTCCTGGTCTTCACGGGGCCAGCCCCCACGAACACCCTTCTCCTAAGTCCTGCACCCAGAGCGAGGCGCCTGGTGGTAGGGGTGTGGGTGGGAAAGGCCTCACTGGGTGAGGGAGGAGACGGAGGGGCTGCGAGCAGGAGCTCTGTCCTTAAGTGGCCCATTCCTGGTTTCTTCAGGGGAACAGTCGATGGGGGCTCATAAATCAGGGTTTTATGGGTTGAACTGTGTTCCCTCCAAAGGCATGCTGAAGTCCTCGCTCCCAGCACCTGCGACTGTGACTTTATTTGGGAACAGGGTCACTGCGGATGTAATCAAGTTAAGAGGTTGTTAGGGTGGGCTCTGAATCCCATATGACTGGTGATCCTGTAAGAGAAGAGGCCCAGAGACAGACACACAGGGAGAAGCCCCGGGACCCCCGAGGCAGAGACTGGAGCGAGGCTTGTGGAAGCCGAGGGACACCAGGGATGGCCAACAACCCCCGAGGCTGAGAGAAGGGCATGGAACAGACTCTCCCCTGGACTTTCAGAGGGAGCCTGGACCTGCTGACACCTGGATTTTGGATTTCTTGCCTCTGAACCCCAGAACTGTGAGCAAATAAAATTTTTTTTCATGTAGAAAGCCTATTTTATTTATTTTTTGGGGGGGTCATTAAGTCTATTTATTTTTTACTAGGGCTTTTTAAAAAATGGAGGTACTGGGGATTGAACCCAGGACCCCATACATGCTAAGCACGCACTCTACCACTGAGCTATATCCTCCCTCCCCCAATTTCTGTTGTTTTAAGCCATGCAATGTGGTAATTTGTTATGGTGGTCCTGGGAAACGAATACACAGGGACAAAGGGGATTTGGAAACTAGCCCAAGTCCTGGAGGGCCCATCCACGTCCCAGTTGTCAGCCATACACTTGAACGGAAGTCTCTTGAGCTTCTGGGGTCTCCACCCAGTAGAACTCTGTGCCACAGGCTGTGGCCCTCCAAGTCAGGATGGCCTCCCCCCACTGCCTCAGGACCAGCTGCACAGTCCACAGAGCCGTACAAAATGAAAATACGGGCCCCTTGTTTAAAAAACACCCAGAATTTCTAGACGGTGACAGCAGAGCTTCAAACCAAGCGTGGGGCCCTGGGGACAGGTTCCACCCACGAAGCTGGCTCTGTTTGCATGCTCAAGGGGTCTCCAGGCCCCCAGTAGCTACCTAATTTATGCCTAAATTCCAAGTGATTCTTTTGCGATGACCACTCCCCTTCTGTGTATTTTCTTTTAACTAGCCCTGAAGATACAAGCATTCACTCCCTGGCGCCTGCGGTGGGTGGACTTGTCCAGAAGTGGCGGGCCAAATGGGACCCGCCTTCTCCACGGCTGCCAGGCTGGTGGCCTGGGGGTCAGGAAAGGGCTGGAGTCCAGATAGACCCACCCTGTGACCACAGAGAAATGGCTCAACCTCTGAATCTCCAGAGCAGAGGATTCTAACTGGTCAATCACCCAAGGACCCAGAACAGAGGATCAACTCCAGACCATTCCTTCCGAGCCCCATCCAGTCCTACAGGCGAAGGCCACGGTCTTTGTTTTCCCAAGTCCTGCCCAGGTCCTTTCGGAAACTGGGTGTGGGGTCAATAGGATCTCAGGTGCCCAGTCCTGGTGCCTGGCCAAGGAGGCCGGGCCTGCAGGCAGCTGACCATCCAGTGCCCCCAGCCAAGCTCCCGTCCTCTGCCTGAGAGGCCTCGAGAGGAGCCGAGTGCTTCTGCCCTCGGGATGCTGTGCGTTCCCTGCTGACCTCCTCCGTTCCACCCCTAACACCTGCTCATTCCAGCCTCCTGTTCCCCTTGGCTGACCCCGTGACCCCCCAAGGAATGCCTCTCCACATGCTCGGAGGCATCTGGGGGCTCCCCTCGTGCTTTCTCACATGACCACCTCATGCTGCAGTGGGGACACCACCAGAGGCGTCCCCTCTCTTGCTGTCCCCTCAGGCCTCCCGGGAAGAGCCAGCCCACTCTGTGCAGGGCACAGAGAGGGCGGGAGCAGACCAGCATGACGGGCACTGGCTGAAGTGGGGACAATTCTGGAAAAGGCAGAGGGAAGAAGACTCGGTTGGACCAGTCCTGCGTCAGTGGGGAATAGAACAGTTTCTTGTTCCCAGGACTGGATTTCTTAACCTTCCATTTAATAAAGAAGAGTGGAGCATCTCTGTAAAACCCAGCACTTCCCCACAAATTCCTCATAAAACATCCCCTCTAACACGCATCGAACGCAAACCTGTAGGCTCGAAAGCAGATGGGAAATAATTACACTGGCCCTGAACTTGGCTCCCAGGAGACAGTGACCCAAAAACTCAGGCTCACGGAGTATTAACTTCTGTTTTTAGCACATTACTCTCTGGCACGCTGCCTGGTGTCACAGGACATGGTCGCCACAGGTCGTGGTGGAGGTGGTGGCTGCATCTCCAGCCTGCAACTCACGCTCTGGGAGCTCCAGACGCCCAGGTCTCCACGGATGCCCTGATGGCCAGGACTGGCAGGACACAGCCCCAGAGGTGCTCCCCTGGGCTGGGTCCCGGCGGTGCCAGTCTGCCCTGGGAGTGTCTTCCAGTCTGACTGCCAGCCCCACCCCTGCTTGCCCGGAGTGTACAGAACTTCCAAGGAAGGCCTCAGGGCACTCAGCTTTTCACAGACTCCCACTCCCATCAAAGTGACCTCAGAAAATCAAGGCCAGCTCAGGCGATGAGCTGCCTCACGGGGGCAGCTGAAGACAGGTCTCTCCAGGACTCTAAACCCCAGCCAACTCAGGGTTGGGATTCCTGGGAGTCGTCAGCCACACAGGGTTTGGCTATACGTGGGCGAAGCCGAGTAGATGCCATGCTAGTCCATCCTTCATGCAGCTGGGCAGCTTACAACAGACCCCAATGGCAATTTAAAATATAGGCATTTCCTTGCAACTCAGCCCCCATTTAAATAGGGGCTTGGGGGGAGGGTATAGCTCAGTGGTAGAGTGTGTGCTTAGCATGCATGAGGTTCTGGGTTCAATCCCCAGTACCTCCATTAAATAAATAAACTTAATTATCTACCCCCCCAAAAAACCCCACAAAACATAAAAATAATAAAAATTAAAAAAAATCCTAACAGTAAAGAAAATTTAGCCGAGAGATGGCTCAGGATGTTTTAAACTATAAACGTCTTCTAAATCTACAGCAGTTCTAGAGAGCCTGAGATCAAAGGGTCCTGAGCATCCAAGATGTGGGTCCTCCTACATGACCCCTCCCCACATCAACAGTCTTCTCACATCCTGAGGGTAGATATTCTCCTGCCTGAGAAGTCGGGGAAAAGGGGCCAGTGCGTGTACGCACAGACACACGTACACACGCACACACACGCACACGCAGGCACAGGCACACGCAGGACTCCAGAACAGGAAAGAATGAGTTAGAGAAAGGGGACTGATGATCCACAAACACGGGGCGGGGTCCCCCAGCACAGCAGAGGTGCGCCCCGCACCCTCAGCTGCAATCCCATCCCACAGTGCCATCGTCACGCCTGGCTGTGCCCTCACCACCCACAGCAGGCCGCTGGTCGTACTCACGTTATACCAGAACTTAGAAACCTTCCTTCTTGTTCTTTCACCCTAGGGCAGCGATGCAGAGATAAGAGTATGAAAGAGGGCATTCCTTCTGTCTAGCAGGGCCGCACTGTCTCACGGGGGTACACAGCAGCCAAAGAGTGTCAAAGTCACTTAACTGAGCAAAACGGGAAGAGCTGTTTCCTCCTGTCCCACCCCCAAGCCAGGTACCATCTCCACACCTTATGCAGAGGAAGGGCCCCTCACTCCCCTGTGGACAGCTCTCGGCCCCCACTCCTGGCCTGCCCACCATCCCCAGGTGTGCTGACCTGCTCTCCTCGGGACAGGCTCCGTGCACTCGCCTCCCTCGTCCTCGAGAAGCGACGGCTGGCCAGCCACAGTCGCGGCTGAGCAGCAGCAGACGAGCAGGTTTGACAGGCACGTCCATCTGGGCCTGCCCCCGGAGCAGTGCCTCACCCTCGTCCCTGAAGCTCCAGTACAGCCCCACAGCAGGGAGCGCGGGCTGTGAAGGGTCTGCTCTGCCCTCATGAGGGCCACAGGAACCTTTAGGAACCATCCGTGCATCTGGTCAACCCACAGAAGGCGGTAATTGACATGATGGTGGAAAATCTTGAAGCTGCTGGAATCTTCTCTTCTATGTAAACAGTCAGCCCAGTTCATCATAAATAGTTCAGAAAAATCCTAGGAAGTTTAGGATAAATTCTGCAGTTCTTTGGTTTTCATGAGCAGTTCTGTGAAGTTGCTAAATAATCCCAATATATTCATCTAAAATCAACATTCCATAATTACTACTTAGATTCAGGCGAGAGTCTTGGTTCTTCCACGTTGAGATGTACCCAGAATCTGATCGCCCTCATCACTTGCATTGCTGTGATGTACCTATGCGGACTTCTGCAATGACCTCCTAGCTGCCTTCTCCATGCCCCCACAGCGGGATCTCAACGCAGCAGGCGGAGCCATCCTGCTAAAGGATGAGTCAGATCGTGTCACTCCCTTTGCTCTGCAAGTCCTCAAGTCCTCAAGCGCTCCACACACATGGTCTTCCTTCCCTAGCACAAGCTGACCTCATCTGCATTCATCTGCTCCACACCTGGGGCCTCCTTGCTAGTCCTTGAATGCTCCAGGCACACGCCAGTCCCAGGGCCTTTGCACTTGCCATTCCCTCTGCCTGCAATACTCTTTCCTTTGCCTCCTTCAGGACATCACTCAAGGGCCACCTTCCCAGAGAGGCCTTTCCAGCCTTTCTATTCAAAAATTGTAGCACTCCCACCTTGGCTCCCCCTCCCCCTTTCCCTGTTTTATTTTTTTCTGTTGGACTCATTGCTCCCTGACATATTATATAGTCTAGTTATGTATCACTTTCTTGCCTGCCTCCCCATGACAAGCCTGAAACCTCCGGAGGACAAGAATTCTTGCCTTTCTTGTTGTCTGTTTTGTCCCCACCCAGAGAACAGTGAAACTCCACGCATACCGGTTAGGTGAATGAACAAACACTGGCTCCCACTGATGCAGATAGTGGTCAGGAAAGAAGGGGCACTCCCCCACGGTCTGAGTGGGAAGGGCCTTAAGGCTTACCGGCCAGACAAAGGTCAATTTCCAAGGTCGCACAGCTAACTGATGGAGGAGCAGCAACCAGCACCCAGGCCTCCCCTCCTGGGAGTGGCGGGGGCTGGGCTGCAGCTGCCCTGCAGAGCAGGTGAGAGCACAGGCCTGAGCTCGGCTCCGACCAGACTCAAGCTCTGGTGCTGAGGCCCAGCCAGCTGCACACCAGCAACCCTCTGCAGCGGCTCATTCACACTCCTAAGCCTCAGCTTTCTTACATCTCGAGTGGGGCTAACGGTGGCACCTCATGGCGGGAAAGCTTTTCTCCCCGTGTCTGACACATGGAAGTTTCTAGATAGTTACTAAAAAATCCAAAACACTGTCATTCCAGGTAAAAGGAGCGGCCAAACGAGTGTACTGAAGGCAGCCAGAGCCTTGCTAAGCCTCTGCTAAGAACAGAAATACCGAGAGTCATAGGAACAGAGCTGAGGAAGCCCCAGCCCTCTGAGGACTGTGAGCTTTCTGAGGGCAAAACCCTTAGTTACCACGACGTCTTCAGGACAACCTCCATGTGGGGAGTGGCCAGGGGAGGCTGGGAAGCAGCGATTTCCACAGGCGTGTGGAAGACTGGCCATTCCCTGTGGCTTTTCACATTCAAACACACAACTGCCTGCCTGTCAACTCCCCTTGGATACCGGCATCTCAAACTTAACCCAGTGACATCAGATCCATTTTTTAAAAACGTTTGTGAATTGAGGTACAATTCATGTAACATAAAACCATCTTACAGTGAACAATTCAGTCCCATTTAGCACATTCACAGTCCTGTGCAACCATCTCCTCTGTCTAGTTCCAAAACATTTCTGTCACCCCAAAAGAAAACCCTGTGACCATCGAGCAGCGCCTCTCCTCCTTCCCGGCAACCACTGCTTTCTGTCTCTATGGACTTGCCTACTCGGGACATTTCATATCAAAAGGCTCACACACACGCGACCGTGGAGGTCTGGCTGCTTTCACATAGCACGAGGACAGAGTTAGAGCCCACGTGTGGACGGACCATGCTGTTTATCCACTCATCTGCCGAGGGATGCTGGGTTGTTCCCACTTTTGGCTGTTGTGAATCCCGCTGCTGTGAACACATGGGCACATGCATTTGCTGGATCTGTTGGTTTTGCCCCCAAATCACCACAACGCTGCTGCCCTACGGCTTCCCCATCTCATGATGGTGCCACCCAGATGCTCACACTGGAAACCCAGGAGCCAATCTTCATCCTTTAAGCCCTAACAGCCCCCTCTACGCCATACATCAGCCCTGTTTCAAATATGTCCTGAGCCCTCCTTGCACCGTCTCCACTGCATCAGCTCCAACGGCTGCCACTACCTCTCCAGACCCTCTCTGGCCCCTTCATTCCAATCTCTCAACCTCTTGCTGCAGCCAGGTCACTTGATCTTAGCCAAAAGGGTGAGAAATGACAAGCCAGATCATCTTTCCAAACTGTGAGAATGCATTCCTCTCCCCGCAAAGAAAGACCACCCTGAAGTGGCTCCTATTGGCAACCATGACGCACTTAAACTCCACTTCATAGACTGTAAGACCTTTCATGATACAGCCCTGCTCACCCCTTCTCCTACTCCCTCTCTTGCCCACATTGTCGATGCTACAACCACGCTGGCCTTCTGTCCCTGGATTGTGTCAATCTCCTGTCCACCTGGGGCCCTCCGCACACCCCGTCCCTCCTTCCTGGAAAGTGGGGCGTGACTGTAGCCACCTCTTCTCACAATTCACGTGGCACCTTCTTCCAGTCACCTGGTAAATCAGCAACCCACTGACTCTGTCACTTAACCTCATTTTGTTTGAATCACAGTAATTACAAAACCTGTAATTACCTTACTGCCCTCCACTGGAACACAAGCTCCGAGGGCAGCGCTGTCCGTCCTGTTCACCGCCCTGTCCAGCCCCTGGAAGAGCGTCTGCTCCAGTGAGATGCTCCAGGCACATCTGGCCCTGGAATGTCAGATGCCAGGAGTGTGAAGCCCCGGGCCTGGCTGGGTGGGACCAGGTGGTGGTAGCAAGGTGCCCCCGCGGCCAGGTGGGTTAGACAGGGCCATGTCTACAAAGGAACAGTGTTTGCCATTTAATACCAGATAGGTGGGGTTTCTGGCAGGAAGTCGCTCTTCGGGGACAGCCCCTAGGACCCAGGACATCAACTCTTGTGGTGATGACTCACGGAAACGCAGCCCAGCCCAGCAGCACTACACCCAAAGCCCTTCCCATCCTGGACAGCGCGAGCTGCCTTGACCGTCTACACTCCAAGTCCAACCGGGGCACAGGGAAGAGGCAGGTTGGCCCCTGAGGTGCAGCCCGCTGAGCTGTCCCCGTCTGTCCACGTCTCCCCTGGGAGTCTGGAGAGTTCCGGTGCTCCTCCTGTCCTCTTGCCCTGGGCATCAGGCACCACTGTGTGCCGGACAGCAGTGGGGACAGCACAGACTGGGCCTGCCCTGCTTGAGATTAGTCCCATCAGGTGAGATACCTCCCTCCCCCAAAGATGGAGTGTGGGAAGTGAGGTGCAGGGGACAGAGACGGCTGCACCTGAACATAACAGGTGGGTCCACCTGGGTGACGCAGGGCCTTGGGACAAAGGGCTCAGGCGTGGTAAGTCACAATTTTTCGGGTATTCAGAACATGGTAGCCCCTACCCGCTGCTGCGCTGGAGGTCACCTTAGCTTAGCAGGCTGGGCCTGACTTTTCCCAGCAGTAAAATGGTTAAGACAAGAGATTTGTTTGCACCCCGAGTTGGAACTGTAACTGATGTTTCTGAAAAGGATTGAAATGCCAATCTGGATGTTTCAGGAGTAGAACTGTCACCGACAGCTGAGCTGGGCTGCTGATTCTCGCTTTGTAAGAATAGTTAACTCTTGACAAACAGTGGTTTGCACTATGCAGGTAACATCTACAGTGTTTTGTGTCACGTACGCCAACACTGACTTGGGTGCTGACTGACGGACAATTCATCTTGTAAACGACGATGTAAACTTGGGGGATTACAAATACAGTATAGGACAGTGTGTCTTCTCTTCCTTATGACTTTTCTTAGTAACATTTTCTTTGGATCACATCATACAGGCCTTGTGAGAACCGGCACCATGTCTTTTCCTGAGACCAGCTCTTATCCTGGTTGCGATTACCCTGAGCCCTCTCTCCTGCATAATAAAAAGATGGCTCTCTACGACCTGTTGTCCCCACTTCTGGCTCCCAGCTCCCGGAAGACTGCAGGTGCACTCCCTAGCATCCCAAAGAGGCCTCCTGGTCACTCACATGGACCCGCCCCTTCTGTTGTGTGCAGCGCCCTCGCCCGCGGTCTCTCCAGTCTCCCTTCCCACACTGTCTGTATTTGGGGGCAGGGAGGGGGTCATGCCACCAGATTAGACAAATCTCAAGGAAGACTAATACCGGCTTCCTTGTCAGGCATGTTTATCAGGTCAATTGTCTTGTAAGATGTGGACGTGCTCCGACGTCAGGGTAGGACCTTCCCAACAAGTAAGGCTCCCTTTACTTGTTTGCTGTCGACATACTGCAAAGGACTGCACTCCAGCAAGCCTGGTCCAGAGGATAAAACGATTACCCAGTTTTCACTAAGTTAACCCTCACAACAAGAGAGCACTCAGGAACTCCTGGAAAGTGGCTGTGGGGTAAAGATACGCCCAGTGATGCGACCCAAGCAAACAATGAGAAAGAACAGAGGTGGCACTCGGCAAGTCTAAGTTTCACAAAGTTAAAACCACAATTCTCACTCAACACAGAGGAACGCGTGTCAGGCGGTGAAGCTGGTTCAAGCCTGTTTTGAGGAGCCGGGTTTTGGTTAATATTCCACAGGAAAACCAAAAGCCATCCCTCATTGTTTTTGCAGGGCGGGGTGTATCAGCGCCTCCACCAGACGCGCGCAATCTGGGGCCCTGATGAACAGCGGTACGTACAGTCCAGCAAGCGCTCGGCCCAAGGTCCTGCGGCCAGTCCTGGGGGCCCTGGTGCTCGGGGACGTCGCAGGACCCCCACTGTCCGACACGCTCGACCCCGGGTAAGAGCTTTTCCATGACGGGGTTAAAAACCGGCCTAGGGAGTTGACAAGCAGGCAGTTAAAGACGCCAGACTCCCCCATAGTGGACATATGCAGTGAGGACTCCCACCCAGCGGCAGTACTGACGAGGAGTAACGCGTCTCCCCGGCGCGCTCGGGTACACGCGGCGGAAAGGGCGCAGGTGGGGACCTGCGCCCAGGTGCCCACTAGAGGCAGGGCCGCCTGCAGACCCCGCACGGCGCAGCCCGTCTGCAGGTGCTCCGGGTCTACCGTCCCGCGCGGAGAGCCCGGTATCCCAGGGGGGCACGGCCTCCGCCCGAGAGCCCAC